TTTCGATCTTCGTTTTTGTCTCTATGGAAAATAAAAGATTTCCGATAAGTTAACGAGGTTTTTCTTTATTTCTCTGAAACTTTTTATTTTCCATAGAGACAAAAACGAAGATCGAAAATCGCGTTCTGTTATGTCCTAGGAAAAAGTGTTGACTACATTTCAAGACTAACCTAAGATTCGTAGCACTTAAAGAGAAATCTTGGAATTACGCAGTACTGCAAGATAAAAATCGATGTAGAGGAATGAAAGAAAAGGAGAAAAGCAGAGTTTTACGTGCTCTTAGAAAAATGCTTCTGACTTCTGATGGGGAGATCGCCCAGAGCTCAGTAACATCTCATTTTGAATAAAATCCTTTCTCTATATAAAAAGGAGTTTAAAAAGATTTTAGCTGGTCAGCGCACATGTGGACAAGTTTTGGAAAGTAAACAACGATGAATTAGAACCTCCAGTTGGGTACTTCCACACAGATCCGCCCACTTTATACATAGCTTAAAGTCGGGAAGGTTTGACTGTTTGCAATCGATAGCACTACGAAAGGTGTGTAGGACCTCCTGTCGCCCTATGAAAAAATTATTCCTAACACGGTTTTTCCTCAGCCATAAGTCCTGAATTGAAACGTTTTTAGGGGTGCCAGAACAGCGAAATCCGACCTTATCTAATACTATCAAACGTTCTCATACTGCTGGCTGGAAAGAGCATACAAAGTTGCATATTTCTATCCGCAAATGAGATTTTCTCCTCTGACATTCAGAAAGAATTTTTGACTGAAGGACCTTTTCTGTATTAACAGATATCCCTCGTTTTATAGCGTGTTGGACGAGCTCAAAATCTAACAAAATCTAACTTTATATATATTCAAATGAAAGCGGCTTCCAAGTTCGTCCGTATGATGCATCAATGAAGTCTCTAGCACTTTCTACTTCTTCATGGTAAGCGTAGCCATGAGACCTACGTTGGCACTTCTCGGCTTCCTCTGTCGAAAACGGCACGTCATTTCTCCAAGATCTTGTTACCCCACACACTACGTGATTAGTACTACAAAAGACGCAGGGTATTGGCTTTGGCCAGGTGGTTTTTCATGTGGTGGTTTTCTAGAAATCCCGTTAAAATCCTGGCATCTGGCTAGGGTCAGGAACTGGAAAAAAATACTAAACTACCCATAAAATAACATACTGAATCTGAATTTCCGGTTAGTTTGGATTCGATGTTTATAAGCAACTGAGGATTTTGACGGGGTTCTAGAAAATAGGACTTATGGCTGAGGAAAAACCGTGTTCGGAATAATTTTTTCATAGGGCGACAGGAGGTCCTACACACCTTTAGTAGTGCTATCGATTGCAAACAGTCAAAACTTCCCCACTTTAAGCTATGTATAAAGTGGGCGGACCTGTGTGGAAGCACCCAGTTGTCAATCTTAAAAAAGTCCATATCTTTTGCACGAAGAGCTATACAACCAAATCCTTTAGCGGTTAAGACTAGGACATCATATAGTAGCTATTGGTAAAAGATCATCGAAATCGGACGGTATCAGCTAGGAACCGTCCCTCGTAAGTCGAGTCCGAGTCAGGAAGCTTCAAGTCTAGGTGCGAGTTCTAGTCGCTTCAAAAACTGACTCGAGGCGACGCGAGTCGTTTCGAGTGATTTTCTAGAATTAAATTTCCCCCTGATTCATCTTTTCAAGAAAAAGCTTGCAGCGCTATTTTCTATCTGTTGTTTATCGTGCCCTTTTCTATATCCTCAATCTTTTCATGTGACGCGATGTTCTACTTAGAATATTCTGAAATCTGTCCCTCTGTTGTAGTATATAAAAAATATAATAAACACTGTCATAATAATTCAAAGTTGCACATGACTGACTCGAAAGTGACTTGGGTTAGTTTATCTAGTTTATCGAGTCTTTTGCCTCAAGTCCGCATTCGAGTCCGAGTCGTGACTCTGACTCGCCCATCTCTGTTAAAGATAGATAATAAACGAAAATTTTTTGTGTTTTCGTCTCGTTTTATTTGTTTTAGCTGGAAAAGTAAAAGCTTTCGCTGATATTGTTAATAATCATCAACGATCGTATAAAATAGATAAAACCAGTTTAATTACTGGCAATACTCCAATAGTTTCTTCGAATACAGTAGCAAGGCCATTATACATGTCTACGGCTATGATCAGTTCACCAACATCATCTAATTTTGGTACATATTCATATTCAATAATAAAATCCTATACACTCTTACCACAATCTGTAAAAACATTTCCATTTATAACACCGACAATTGTATTAAATTATAGACTTGAAGCAACAACATATTTAGAATCAACCGGTGTAATTGATGGTTTATTTCAACGTTTATTTTCAATTAGACCTAGTGAATTTCTACCATCAGGAACGGTAACATTTTATCAAACAAATGGTTTTTGTTTAGGACAAGGTACTATTCCAGATACATCAAAAAATTTTACACAAACAATTGCATTAGGTGATGATCCTGATGTTCATTATACAATTCAAAGTGTTACAACTCAAGTGCGACAAACACCAGCGTATGGACAAGATTTGAACATTACTATAACAGTATCAAATCAAAAAGATCAACAAATCGTCAGTGTAAAATTAGAATTAACAAGTGGATATAGTAACACAACATTTGTAAACAAAAATCGTAATTGTAAGATTATTCAAGATCAAATTACGCAATCACTTATATTTACGACAACATTAAAGCCTGCTCAAGAAGAAAAATGTACAATAACAGTTTCTCAAACAAATTAATATTTTCTGTTTTTATTCTATATCTAGCGTTAAACCTTTAGATTTTATACAATGAACAATATTAAACTACGTTTACGTAAATTTTTTTCAGTGTTTTAATTAGAAATAGGCAAGGTCACATTTTATTTAATTACGATTTTCTGAAAGATCGTGTTTCTAAAATTTGTTTGTTCTAAAATCGTTTATTCAGAGATTTATAACTAATTCAGTTTTTCAAAGGGTAGAATTCGTGAGTAGTTTATTATTGGACATATTAGGTGAGATAACCTAGTACTGGCTATTTTCACGAAAAATTAAAGATGTCCTCGTTCATTCATAATTAATACAAACTACATAAGAACATCAGGATAAAAAAACTCTGTCGCGTTTACGCGTCTGATTCTGTATTTAAAACTAGTAAAAAGCATTCTCTCGTTTAGGAAGATCTCTAGATAACGTTTTCAAAGAAATGTACTTTCTATTAATTTTGAAAAGCTTTAGTGAAATTTGAGATATCGCGTAGATAAAGTAGAGTTCAGCTTGATGTTCAGAAACAGTTTGAATGAATTTTGAGTGAATTTTTTTTAATCAGAATAATATTACAGATGCTGGTTTATCTTAAAGCACGCGTTATGTATATGTAGCGTATGCTGTTTTATCAAGTATCGTGTACAATTGCATATAATTTTAGTAAATGTATCTTTAGTAGCAGATTTAAATATACAGACACCCTCATCCGCTTCACCGTCTTCATTCTTTTTAATGATGAGGTCAGAGCTAAGTTGATGCAATTATATCGTTCTACTGTTCGAACTTCTTTACGAACTATCATAACGCACTAGTTTTCTAGCAGTCAGAGGAACATGGTAAGTATGTTATAGATTGAATGATCTAGAGAGCACAAATATGAATAACTTGTCGAAGGTCAGTCCATGGCATACTGGTGTAATGGTACCTTTCGAGTGCATCATGAACAACATATCTGTCAGGAGGCATCCTAACAAATGGTAGATTGACCATAACACCCGTGTGCCTTTCAAAGTAAATTTCAGAATTCCGTCATTCAATAACAAAATATGAAATGAAAAGGAAACAAAAGTTGCATTATTCTAGTGTTTGTTTACATAAGAGCATGGCATGACATGTCATAGCTAGGCCCTAGGTTCGAATCCTAGACGGATCGTATGATTGTTTTAAAATTTTTTTTGCACAATCCAGATGCACTACTAACGTAGTTTAACTTCTTGAGCATTTTTCAGATCGCTTTACAAAAGAAGAATTTCATAAGAAAGTGATAAGAAGTTCATAATACCTCTTATCACTTTCTTATGAAATTCTTATGACTTTCTTTATCAGATTCTTATCAAACTCTTATCAAACTCCATTCATTTCCCTGCGTAATCTGGTATAAGAATTTGATAAGAATCAAGTAAGATTCTTACGTGTATCTTATTGGGTACTTATAAGTTTCTTATAAGATTCTTAACTGATGCCTGTATAAGAATCGACACCTAGGGAAGTATATTCACTAGGCTTATTAGAAGAACTATGAAGGAATTTTGATGCGTATTAGTAGTTGTCGAGCTTTTCTACCTTCTCCGACTTAGAGAGGCTGATTTGAATGCCATCTTTACAGAATCTTAAAGAATCGCAAGTGGTTCTTATATGTAATCTTACCAGTTTCTTATATAAGGTTCCTATCAATATTCTACGCGTTTTCATCTACTGCCTTATTAAGAAATTCATAGAATTTCTATAAGCTTCTTGTAGATATTCTATAAGACTCCTACAGAAATCCTACATACGATTTGATCTCTAGGGTTATTCCTGGAGGTAGACAATTCGTAGATAGATTATTTATTAGGCAAGCATGCGCTTCTTGGATCTTCTGCAGGATGACATAGAGCATAGTCCTCGGACTGACTGTAAATTTAAATTGACAATAAGCTTTATTTCTTCGTTTAAACTACCACTAGTTTCTAAGCGTCGACTTGAAATTCACCATCTCCCTCTTCGTGTTTATTTTCCTCAGCTGAATGGGTCTTTAAAAAACAGCTTTAGTTAGGCTCTCGGTAGAGATCGAAGTGGTGGAAGATAAGCTTCGAGCTGCATTCAGTGATAATTTACGAGCCTTCAACAAACTGATACCCCAAGCAGATAAATTCGTTGAAAAAGTTGGCGCCGAACGAAAAAAGCAGACTGAATGGCAATCAACAGACAAAATCTTTCACTCAGCTTAAAAAATGAACTGATGTATTTTTGTTGGTGTAATGTATGAATAAAATGTTTACTCAAAAATTTCATTTTTTTAAATTAAAGTATTTCATTTATTTCAGTTTTCTCACCATATTAAATTAACTTTTGAAAGTTAAAAAATCGCAGGTTTTGCTTTCGAGTTCTAACCTATAGCGAACGACATATAACTGAAAAGTATAAAATAGAGAAAAGGTAATAACTAAGCTTTTCTATTAGATGAGGAATTGTTTTGGATCGAAAAAGCGCACAGGGCCATTGAGGTCTTTACGTAGAATTCTTCTCTTGAGAATCCGAAATTCTGCAATCCCATTTTCTCGGCTTCAAATGTCATGAAATAATGATAATACAATATGGCTGTTCTCTACACCATCCATCCAACTTAATACACATTGACGTCAGCTAATAGTTTCCACCCAGACATGCAGTTTACAGCAATGTGATTTGCGATGCATGGATCAGATGGATTCCGCGTTCACAGTTGACACCGCAGTCGTACTGATTAGCACGCTGTCTTGATGTTTAATTCTGTTTGAATGTTTACAAATCTGTAAGGGAATTGTTCTTTTCGAGCATGCGGGGATTTGGCAATAAAACGTTGTCGACTGTACGAATTTGTCGTGTGTTCTAAAGGACAACGGATGGTTTCCGCAAGAAAACTGCCCTATATATTTTTGAGAAGATAACGACTGGAACTGACCAGAAACCGTTCCTTATTTTATTTGTAATTTTTCTGCGACTTAAAAGTTCATTGTAGACTACCATATGCTGAAGTTTTAATCATTTCTGAGCAACGTCCAGAAAGTCTCTTCGACCGTATTTATTCATTTTTCTCGGAAAGCCCGACGTTCTTAATAGAACCTTATATACGAAAACATGCGTAATTAAACGGGCTTTAAAATGATATGTAGCGCACATTTTCAAAATAATGTCTTCATAGATGTATTGCGCAAATACTTGACAGGAGCCTCGATTTCACCCATAATTGCCGACAAAAACTGATTCTACTTCTGTCAGCATACTCAGACCAGGAATGATTTATACATAGAAAGATGTAGAATTGAAAGGACTATAAAATGAACTATAACACATTGTTTCGAAAGCTTGTATGCATAGTTGTATTGCTCAAATACTTGACAAGAAGATCGATTTTAGTCGTAGTGACAGATAGGACTGTCACATTAACGTTACGTTAGAATTAACGTTAACGTACTTTACGTTTACGTTAAAATTAACGTTAACGTACTTTACGTTTACGTTAAAATTAACGTTAACGTACTTTACGTTTACGTTAG